AAAAGTGCACTTAAATGGAGAGGAAATTCCCAAGTGTCTTTCCCAATAATCAAAAGCTATAGTAGTGATGTTACCATTTACATTTCTGCCTGGGTCTACGTCTCTGATTTCTTTGACTGTTTTTTTGTAAAATATCTACCATATATATAGAATATATATGGTAGATTTTTTTTGGGGGGGAGACAGAGTCTTTGTTGTTTTTGGTAAAGTGCTATGGCATCACAGTTTATAGCAACCTTCAAACTCTTGGGTTTAAGTGAGTCTCTTGCCTCAGCCTCCCAAGTAGCTGGAACTGCAGGCACCTGCCACAGGACCTGGCCTTTTTTTTTTTTTTTTCCTTAAGAGATGAGGTCTTGCTTTGGCTCAGGCTGGTGAGCTCAGGCAATTCACTCACCTCAGCCTCCTAGACTGCTATGATTATAGGTGTGAGCCATCGTGCCCAGCCGATACCAGTTTTTCACATATTCACCAGTTTCATGTCAAAAATCAAGAGAAAACAATAGGACTCTAAACCTTGCCCTCTAAGTTTCTATAGTTATTTGATATTGGGAGCAAATAAATGGAATCTTGGGGGGAAATGAGGTTATAACTTTAAAGACGAGAGAAAAAAATAAATTTAGACTTTTTGGAAAAATTTAAAAATTTTATTTTTTTTTATTTGGTTGCTAATTTAAAGCAAGTTGAAAATAGTTGGTTTGGGGTGAGGTGGCTAATGTTTGTAATTCTAGCACTCTGGGAGGCTGAGGCTGGAAGATCCCTTGAGCTCAGGAGTTTGAGACTGGCCTGAGCAAGAGTTGAGACCCTATCTCTACTAAAAATAGAAAAAAACTAGCCGGGTGTGATGTCCGGTGCCTGTAGTTCCAGCTGTTGAGGAAGCTGAGGCAGGAGGAGCACTTGATCCCAGGAGTTTGAGGTTGTAGTGAACTAGGCTGAGGCCATGAGACTCCCTTTTCTCCCCCTTTCCCCCTTCTCTTCTCCCTTATCTTTCTTTTTCTTTTCTGCAGTATTTTGCTTTGTTGCCCAGGCTGTAGCTTCAAACTCCTAGGTGCAAGCAATCCTCTTGCCTCAGCCTCCTGACTAGCTAGGACTACAGGTGCATGCCATTGTGCTGGGCTAGTTTTTAATTTTTTGAAGAAATGGGGTCTTCATATGTTTGTTGCCCAAGCTGGTCTTGAACTCCTGCCTTCTAGTGATCTTTCTGTCTTGGCCTTTCAGGTGCCAGGGTTATAGGTGTGAGCCACTGTGCCCAGTCCTCAGGAACATATTTTATAAAGAAAAAAATTAGGTAATGAATAAGATGTTTAAGACCAGCTATTATTGGAAATTATGCTAAGAAACTAATTGCTATGTTATATAGACTTTATATAAAGCTGAGATTGTTCAAATCATTCATCACAAAGCTTGGCCAATCAAATGAACATGATCTGGGATTTTATTTTACTTTACTCTAAAGCAGCAGTTCTCAACCTGTGGGTTGCAATCCCTTTGTAACAATAAAAATACATTGTAGCATTAGGAAGATTGAGAACCACCGGGCTAAAGCTTTAGACTGATAATGTTTTATTGGTGCTGACAGAAGATGTGAGATTCCTGGGTCAGGAACAGTAAGGCATGGCAAGCAGCATGAGATGAGTGTGCGTGTTGCTTCCTCTTAACCCTAAGACCCATGAAGGAATGCAGAGGAGGCCCAGTTGGGTGCTGTGCATGCAGTGAATTTGCTTCACAGCTGAGGAACACTGGAGTTTGAGGAGTCCACTATTTCATAGCAAGCAGTAAGCTTGCCTGCTTTCTGTCACTCAGAGGGAGATATTCAAGGGGGTTTGCTGTAAACCCACCTCTGGATGCCCTGGTTCAAGAGTAGTTAGGACCTTGCCTTAACTTAACCAACCACATGTATGGGAGCACGAAAGACCCATAAGGAATATATCTCCGAACACTTCTTCTGGTGTACTTTTTACTAGTTGAAAAATATATTTACAGAATTCCAATTTAATTTTTTTTCAATCAGTATGATACAATTATTATTGAGAATCTCCTTGTATTTTTATTGGGACAAATACTTTGAGCATTAGCTCTATTCCTTTGACTTTTTGACAGAGTGCCAGAGTTTTCTAAGATTATTTTCGTGTTTACTGAGGACTCTGAAAACAGATTATAAAGTTTACAAAGAACTGTTTTTACACACCTTACTCTGTATTTGCTTGAAGTCTGAAGAGCTGGAAAAGAACACCAGGTTACATGGGCCCTAACTTTCTGTGGGGCAAGTTCTTGTGTTTTGGCTAGAATTTTCTTATTTGTGTAATGACGGGGTTAAGTTGGTTCATTAAGGGATTTTCTAATTCTTCATTGGCTCATGCCTTGTAATCTTGAGTTTGAAAATGGGTTGCATTAGGGGCAAATGTGTTTCACATGAAAACAGCATTACTTCTAGTGTATTTTTGGACTAATGTGTATGTGGTCTCTTTTTCTGACACCACTTCTATCAGTTCATTTCTGACACTACTCTCACCCCATAGTTTAAGCTCTGAGAGTCCCATAAGACTGCCCTAATGTTAGGCAACAGCTGCACATGGGGTGTCTAAGCCACTCAAATTTCTGGCCAGTTGAGGGTTCCCTGACTTAAGTTTGATAATTAACTAGAACAGCTCATAGACCTCAAGAAAACATTTTAGGCTTGGAGCCTGTGGCTCAAGTGGCTAAGGTGCCAGCTACATACACCTAAGGTGGTGGGTTCGAATTCAGCCCAGCTCGCCAAACAATAATGACGGCTACAACCAAAAAATAGCCAGGCATTGTGGTGGGCGCCTGTGGTCCCAGCT